GCATTGTATTTCCCCACTTAATATATACCAAGTGTCTGCATTCTAATATATATATATATATATTAGAAACCATACTGCTTCTGTTGTTATAGAGTCATAAAATTATAGAAAATTATAAGACATATTTTGAACATTATCTTTAAAATTCAGTATTTTGAAATTTTGAAGGTTGTTTGTAAACTCAAGAATTATGGAGTATGAGCTAAAATTTTTTGCTATGTAAAGTAAATGTTTGTGGAAAATGTAAAAATAAATAAATGAAAGAAAAAAATTCTAGGAACTATAAATGGAAAATTTTGGATAATAATATGCATGATTAAGTCACTATGCAGTATATCCTGGATGGGAAATCACATTTTGTATGTTGTGATGATGGTTAGGGAAGAAATGTAAATTAAGTTACAAAAAAAAGAAAAGTTTCAGAAAAAAAAAATCCATTCGATGACCGCAATAAGATATATAGCCCCAGCTAGATGCTACTTTATAAGATGCCTAAAGTTAGACTTGTGTTCATGGAAATGTATATATCAGCTGTGTTTACTATGAAAATATTTACATGGGAATCAGCAGTTAGCGTAATGGCTATGTCGCTGGACTCCCACGTAGTTGACTACATTTCACATCTCAGACCTGGTGGCTTGAAACTCACGCCAGGCGCGTGTGCGTGCGTGCCCAAGTTCCCGAGAGGAGAATGGAGGAGAAGGGATTGTGGCGTGACCATCCCCCCTGGGGGGTGAATTCTCGTTTTCTGTCTCTATGTCTCTCTCTGTCTGGCAAGCGCACGTGCCCTATTGCAAAAATCTCTCTCAAAAAAAAAATTAGATTAATTAAGATCTTTAGTAATTCAATAAAAAATGGGGGGAAAACAGTATAGAAAGTAAACATAGGTATCAGAGACAGTGTGGGAAGAGAGTGGGAGATGGCAGAGGGTAAGAGATAGGGAATCAAGGATGGGGGAAAAAAAGCAAAACATACAGGAAACAAGAAATGGAAAATTATTTGTTGACAATAACATGTATGTTGTGTGCTTGATTGAGACAATATACAGTGTACTCTGGATGGAAAATCTCATTTTGTATGCTGTAATGATGTACAGTGAATGAACATAAACAAATAAATTTAAATTTTAGAAAGTGTATATGATTAAAACTGAATAGGTTTCTAAAACTTTTACAACAAAATTAACTTAAACTTTAATTCCATTTTTCTGCAATGTTTTCGCAGTTCTCGTCACATAGACACCAAGGCATGGGTTAGATTATTTTTGAGGTTGCTTTGGAAGGTCCACTAATGGGGAAAAAGAAAACCCCTCCTAGTCTTTTTCATTTATTTTTCTTTTATTTTATAATTTCTTATTCACATTTAATTGCCGTACATCTCTATAGCACATAATATGGTTTTTCAAAGAGAGGTTAGACCATAAAAAGGGCTTTCCCGTGGTGTACCAACTAACAAGAGTGCGTACTGGCTTGCAACAGGTCTCTCCAAGGCAGGAAGAGATGGTGAGAACGACTAGTGCACAACCGTGGACTCTGAAATAAGCACTTTCTGGTAGAATAAGGAGTCTTTTTTTACAGAGGTGAGGACACTGGATGACCTTGGATCCTTTAAGCCCCTTCCTGTAGCCCCTTCAGCGGGGCAGGAAGCGAATCTGATATGTCGGGGGCACTTTGCCCACACCGATCTCCCGGGGTGTGAGGTCGATGTCCTCTGGAGCCATGGGACTGGCCACAGAGAAGTTCTGGAGGATGGTGGTGAAGAAGATGAACAATTCAGTGCGGGCAATACCTTCACCAAGACAAATGCGTTTCCCTGTGGGCACAGAGGATCAAAATTGTGTTACAAAGTGGGTAACCACAAAGGTGAAACAGGGACTTTACTCTCTTTCCTAGGCCCAGACAGCTGTGCATTGTAACAAGATTTGCATTGAATTAACCTTACCCTGCTTGTCATAGTGACTGTTTAAAAGTTAACAAACCCTCCAAAAATGGTTACAAACTTTGAGAATATAAGCCATATTAAAATTTTTATGAGAGAATGTATAGCTTCTGTTAGCTTTCCAAAGAATGCAATGACCCCACTTATGTTTAAATATGTATGTGTGCATGTATATGCACATGCATGCATGTGTGTGTGTTTGTGTGACCTGAATAGGTGTGTGCATTTTCTTCATTTCTCCCTCAAGTAGAGTAGTACTTAATCCCATAAAGTTATTGTGAGTCTAAAGAAGTAAGAATCTGTAAAAACTCAGAATAACCCCTGGCTCATATGAAGGTTCCCATAGGTATAGCTATTCCTCTGTACATGTATCTGGGAGTGTGTAGGAGGTAGGCATTGCATATGTGTATCTGCATGCATGTACACGTATCTGTCTCTGAATTTTCTTCTGCTCTCAGCTTGAGATGTCTGGGCTTCAAGAATTCTAAAAAATTCCCCAAATTGTACCTAAAACTGTGAATAGGATTGAAGTATATGAGAAGGGGAGTTATGGCTTCCACTGAATTCTCAGGGGTGTAAGGATCTCATCTCTAAGAGATTGAAATCATGGACTTGGAGAGATTCAAGAACAAAAAGAGCCTAAAAACTCAGAGACACAAAAACCCTTTCCCTTTTCATAGGTGTTTCTCACTCTGCAAACAACCTCGGAAAGGCAATGTCAAGGAAGGGCTTCCAACCATTCCCTAGACCCTTCAAGTTGGACAACTGTTCTGGCATGGAGGTGCCTGAGGCAGCTCACGTTTTCTTAGCACATCTAGAAGTTAGGAGACATGACTTTAGAAATACTAACAGGTCTCCAGACTGGTTCTTCTGGAACCAGCTGTGTGACCCAATCTCCACAGGCATTAGAACAGGCTAGTCCCTGTGATCTTCCTTCCAACACATCGTCCTCCTCCCTGTGGCTGTGTATTTGGACACTCTGGTATTTCATTGACCCTGACACCTTTTGACTTAGTTTGTCTTCCCCTCTGTCCACAATAGTGTGACTCTTTCTACCCGTCCACACATGACTCCACTCTTTCTCTGCCTCTCTTTTCTCTGCTTTCTTCCATCTTATCTCCATATTTCTATTTCAGCTTGATTCCCTCTCTTTTTCCTCATTTCTCTCTCCCTCTCATTCTCATTGCTCTCTAAAAATATCCTGTCTCTCTGCTTCCTTTTTCTCTATGCATGTCACTCTCTCTTTTCTTCTATTTCTTATTCTCCTTCTCTTCCACTTCCTTCTTTTCTTGTACTTCTCCTCCTTTCTCCTTCTCTTTCTTACTTTTCTTTCTTCTCTTTCCTCTTCTCCCTCTCTTTTTCCTTTATCTCATTCTTACTTAACTGTCTCAGGTTCACTCTGTCTCTGTCTCTTTCTGCCACTATCTACTCTCTCTCTCTTTTTGTTTTTCACTCAGTATCTTTCTAGTGCTTATCTGTCTCTGTTCCTATTTCTCTACATCTCTGCCACTCTCTAATATAGGATAGGACTATTGAATAGAGGAATTGACTCTGATCCCACCACCTCACACGTTCCCAACTCTCTCTGGAGCTAAAATAAGGATGGAAGTCGCTGTATTGGCATAACCCAGGGCTGAGCCAGAACCCTGCATGCTATACTTACTGATTTTTTTCCTATATAAAATTAATTGTGGGGCCAGCAAATGGCATGGCAGTTAAGGTGCTAGACTCCCACATGGTTGACTGCAGTTCTAGTCCCAGACCTGGCAGCTTGCTTTCTCTCTCTCTTTCTCTCTCTTTCTCTTTCATGAGCACAAATGCCCTATAGCAAATTATAAAATAATAATAAATACAATTAAATAAGTCTAAAAAAATTCATTAATTTACTGAGGTTTTTAGAGAGGTTAAAATACTTGCCCAAGTTCTCCATTGCCAGGAAGTTCCTTTAATACATAATCTTGCTTCTCAAGCCCCTTTGTAGGGTTGTGGTGAAGAAGAAATGGGATAATGCAGGAATATACTAAGTGCTCAATAAATAAAAACTTATCATTATTTGTCCGAAGGAGGGGATGACACCTGCACTCTCATGTCTGAGAAAGGGATTATGGGTACAGTTTACCTATGGAGAAGGGGATAAAAGCTTCATTTTTCTTCAGTGCCCCATTGGCATCCAGAAAGTGCTCAGGGTTGAAGTCATCTGGTTTTTCAAAGTAACGCGGATCATGGAGAGAAGAGCTCAGAATGGGATATATTTCAGTGTCCTAAGGGAGGGTCACAAGAGCAAAAGGTATTGTCATTCTCTGCCCCACCACGCAACAACAAAAACAAGCAAACAAACAAACCCAAATCAGGAGACCCTATTGAGAAACCAAAAAGTAGTTGGGTTTTAAGATCTAAGAATCCAGGATGCCCACATGAGAGGGATGGAAAAGCCTGGTTGGTCTCACCTTGGGGATGAAGTACCCTCGAAAGTGAGTGTCTTTGGTGACCACATGGGGCACACCGATGGGGATGAGGTCCGCAAATCTCTGAATCTCGTGGAGGACTGCATCAGTGTAAGGCATTTTGACTCGATCATCAAAGGCTGGAGGACGGTGAGGGCCAATCACCTGTTCAATTTCCTTGTATATTTTCTCTATGGGGGGGGGAAGGGAACCCCATTTAGAAGAGGCATTCAGCAGGGACACTTCTTAACTGTGGGTCAATGAGCCAGGAAAAGTTTATAATACAAGGTTATACCATTGATCTCTTTCATAGCAATCAGCTTGGGATGAGGACATGAGGGAGGAAGCAGCAAGAATTGTCACCCTTTGAAATCAAATGAATGTTTTGGATTCTCTTCCCACATGCACCACACACATACACACACACACACACACATGCACACACACATGCACACACACACACACACACATGCACACACACACACACACACCACTAGGCATTTTGACTCGATCATCAAAGGCTGGAGGACGGTGAGGGCCAATCACCTGTTCAATTTCCTTGTATATTTTCTCTATGGGGGGGGGAAGGGAACCCCATTTAGAAGAGGCATTCAGCAGGGACACTTCTTAACTGTGGGTCAATGAGCCAGGAAAAGTTTATAATACAAGGTTATACCATTGATCTCTTTCATAGCAATCAGCTTGGGATGAGGACATGAGGGAGGAAGCAGCAAGAATTGTCACCCTTTGAAATCAAATGAATGTTTTGGATTCTCTTCCCACATGCACCACACACATACACACACACACACACACATGCACACACACACACACACACATGCACACACACATGCACACACACACACACACACATGCACACACACACACACACACCACTATTTTGTGTGCAGTTTCAGATTAAGAACTCCACGCTATGAGCCGAACAAAACTTCTCTCTAAAATGAATAGAAAATAATATTTATCATGAGGGTACCATGGTTGAAGCACTGGGCTAGGTTCTTAGGAATGTAACAGTGATGCATTTGAACAGAATCCTAACCCGTTTCCTGGCTTTAAGTTTTAAGCAACGTTTCTTAGGATTTCTTTGATTTAAGTTAAAACTGCTTTCTTGAAATTACCAGCTGAATTTGCTACTGAAAATAGTTAGATTATTTAAGAAATTGTGTGATTAATAAAATGTGAGAGGAAAAGGAATGGAAGACAACTATAGACATCAGAGATAGTGTGAGAAGACAGTTGTAAAGGGCAGAGGGTCAGACATAGGGGTAAATATATATATATGAAACTAGAAATGGAAAATTATTGATGATAGCATGCATGATTAAGCCACTATGCAGTATATTCTGGATGGGAAACCACATTTTGTATGCTGTGACAATGCGGTGCTACTTTATTCTACTCACTGAGGTTTGTCCCTAAAGTCAGACTTGTGTTCATGAATATGTATATATCAGCTGTGCTTGCTATTGAAAATATATAGATTAATTAAGATATTTAATGAAACAATAAAATGGGGAGGAAGGCATAGAAAGCAACAATAGATACCAGACACAGTGTAGAAGGAGGGTGGGAGATGACAGAGGGTGAGATAGGGAATCAAGGATGGGAACAAAAGGCAAAATATACAGAAAACAAGAAATGGAAAATTGTTGACAATAACACATATGTTGATATGCTTGATTGAGCCAATACACAGTGTATTCTGGATGGAAAAAAATCTCAGTTTTGTATGGTGTAATGATGTACAGTGAATGAATGTAAATAAATAAATTAATTTAAAAAAAAAAAAACAGTGATGGGTCCAGCAGGTGGCGTGGTGGTTAAAGGCACTGGACTCTCATGTGGCAGACCCCGGTTCGAGTCCTAGACCTGGTGGCTTACTTTCTCACTTTCCCTTTCTTTCTCTCTCTGTCTAATCAAACTGGAAAATAATAATAATAATAAAGTTAAATAAAATAATTCTTTAAAACAAAAACAAAACAAAAAGGAATGTGACAGTGAAACAGATAAAAATATTAATCCATGAACAAGTAGATAAATAAATAAGCACATATATCAACTAATGGATAGATCAATTTACAGACTAAAATATAGATGAATGGGGCCAGCAGGTTGTGTGGTAGTTAAGGCACTGGAATCCCATCTGGCCAATTGCAGTTTGAATTACTGACCTGGCAGCTCGCTTTCTCACTTTCAATCTCTCTCTCTTTCTCTGTCTCTCTATGATGAGTGCATGTTTCCTCTATCAAATTAAATCATAATAATCATAACAAAATTAAATAAATTATTTTTTAAATGACAAGATTGATGAATAGGGCTGGTCCAATGACCAAGTGGTTAGGGGAGCCTGATCCCACTTGGCCAATCTTTGTTGAAGTCTTGGTCCCAGAAGCTTGAAAAGCACACTGGCACATGTGTATGTGTGACCCAAATCGCAAAAGAATAGAGAAGTGGAGAAGAGATTGGGGCATGACCACAACCCAGTAGGAGTGCTTTCTCCCTCCTCCCTTCTCACCATCTCTGGCAAGTACATGTGTCCATTGTCAGTTTAAAACTAAAAAGAAGAAAAGAGGCCAGTAGATGGCACAGTGGTTACATCACTGGACTCCCACATGGCCAATCACGTTTAAGTCCCAGATGTAGTGGCCTGAAAAACATACCATGTGTGTGTGTGTCCAAGATCCTAAGAGGAAATTGGAGGAGAAAGGATTGCAGCATGGCCATCCACCCTGGGGGATGATTTCTCACTTTCCCTCTCATTGTCACTGTCTGTCTCTCTCTGGCAAGTGAACATGCCCTATGGTAAAAAGAAAAAAAAAAAAAAAAAACTTCTTAAAAAAAAAGTAGAGGGACCAGCAGTTGGCGTAATGGCTATGTCGCTGGATTCCGATGTAGTCGACCACGGTTCAAGTTTCAAGTCCCAGACCCGGTGGCTTAAACTCACACCGGGCGCATGTGCCGGCGGGCTCAAGATCCCAAGAGGAGAATGGAGGAGAAGGGATTGTGGCATGGCCATCGCCACTGGGGGGTGACTTCTCTCTGGAAAGGCACCGTGGTCTACAGCAAAAACCCCTCAAAAAAAAAAAAAAGAATGAAAGTAGAACCCTTAAATAAACCAATACGAAACAACTTTTTTAAAAATGAAAGAATAGTAAAAAAAAAAAAAAAGAAAGAAAGAAAGAAAGAAAGAATAGTTGGATAAATGAAAATGAACTGAGAGACTGATTAACGAAAGAACTAAGAAATGAAACCTCATTCGTAGAAGGATAGATGGGTGCCTGAATGAAAAAGCCGATGAATCAATAACGAGTAGTTCTTTCAAATTATCATTGTTTCAAAGGATCAACTAGATAACTAATCTAAATAAATTAATGAAAATATGTGTTCTTCGATGAGTCATAAACTAAAGAATCATTGAGTATACAGTTGAATTAATGAATAAAGGCATGGACAGATGGATGATGAATAAGTTGATAGATGGGTCAATCTTTTTTTAAGAGAGAGATTTTTCTATAGGGCTCATGTACTCACCAGAGACACACAGAGAGAACCAGTGAGGGGATGGCCACACTGCAATTCCTTCTTCTCTCAGGATTTTGGGCACACACGCACGTGCTTGTGCACACGCACACACACACACACACACACAGTGTGATTTTCAAGCCGTTGGGTCCAGGATTAGGACAGTGGTGGGCCATGTGGCAGTCCAGCACCACAACCACTATGCCACCTGCTGGCCCCATGACGTATCAATCTTTAAGGGATTTTCTATTCACCCATCCACCAATAGGATGAGCATGATTTTGTCTGTGTGTGTGTGTGTGTTTAATTTGCTATAGTGCATATATGCTCACCAGAGACAGAGAGAGAGGGAAAGTAAGAAAATATCCCTCATAAAGAATGGTCATGTCACAATCCCTTATCCTTCATTTCTCCTTGCAGAATTTTTGGCATGCATACACACCCAGCCTGCTTCCCAAGCAGACAGTTCCAGGACCTGAAACACACAGTTGGCCATGTAGGATCTAGCCACCTTAACCACATACTGCTGACTGGCCCCAGGACAGGTATCGTTGAGAGTTAGTCCAAAGCCTGCAGTGCTCCTAAAGTAAGAGGCCAGTGTTGTTTCTCTCAATCATTCAGGACCCCACCACCCACTATTTCTGCAGCTCAAGATCCCTTTGATTGGCTATCTGGCTCACCTGTGATGTGGGGGTATTTGAGCAGGAGCAGGAAGCCATAGCGGAGAGTGGTGCTGGTAGTCTCAGTGCCAGCGAAGAAAAGTGAGAGTGAGTTAATGATGAGGTTCTTCTGGTGGAACTCGGTGTGTGGGTCAGACTTCTCCTGGCCAAGATGAGGTCAGGGAAGGAAAGGGGAAGGTCAAGAGAGACTGGAGCCTTCCAGAAAGCATCCCTGTATCTATTCCTGGATCTCACACTATCTCGTCCATTCTGCTTTTCCTGTCCCTTCATGTCCAGCCATTTATCTCTGTATCTATCTATTTCAATCTCTGTGTCACACTCTCTTTACTCTGTCTAGCTCTGTTTCTGTCTCTCTCTCTCCATTTCTTTGGTGTGTTTTTTTGCCTCCTAGTCTCTTTCTACTTCTGGGATCTTTTCTCTGTTACTGTGCTGTCACCTGCCCTGTATTTCTTCTTCGACCAGTCTCTGCTGCTCCTCCCTACTCTTTCAATTCTTTTCAACATATCTTCTTTTCCTTTCTGCATTTTCTCTCCTCCCTTTTCCTATTCTCTCTTCCATGCCCTCTGTTCTTTCCTCCCCCTCTTCCCCTTTCTCACCCCTTGCCCTCTCTCTTCTCATATTCTCATCTCCCCATCTTTCCCCCCTTCTCTTCTCCCAGACCTTACTTTGTCCATACGGATCAGGTAGGTATCAATGAGGTCCCGAGGGGCATTGGGGTCCAGGGTTTCACGGTGTTCCTCCACACTGTGGCTAATAAAGTCATTGATTTCTTGCAAGTTCTTGTAGACTTGCCTGTGTATGCCGGGAAAGTGCTTCAAGAAACCAGAGAAGAGCTCAAACACCTGCAAGAAAGAAGGAGTGGTAAGATCCTTCCCTGCCTCAGGCTAAGCTAACAGGTCCAGGAGGGAGGGAGCAGACTCCTGGGTCCTAATACTTCTGTGGGGAGGTGTGTGCATGTGCATGTGCATGTGCATGCATGTATGTGTACCTCCCCTTACCTATGGACACAGTATCTCCTTTGATTTGTTGTTCTCATATTTATCTCTTTCTGCATCTTCTTCCTCATTTTTGTCTCTTTTTGCTGGTCTTTGTCCCACCTCCTGTCTCTCTCTTTTCCATCTCTATTTCTGTGTGTGTCTCATTGTCTACCTCAGCCTATTTGCCTGTTTGTTACACACTTTTCTTCACCTTCCCCCATCTCTCCTCGTTTTCCTTAAAGCAGGCATTGATAAAATTATGCTAATACAAGATGAGTCTATTGACTGCTTAGGACTAACGCAAACTTGGAATACTTAACTCATTGCAAAAAATGGGAAAATGTATATAACAAAATATAAAATTTCTTCTTAATTCCTCCTTCTAGCAATAATCATTGTTTCCTGTTTGTTGAGTCTCCTTCCAGACTTCCCTCTCCACAGTTCTCAGTGAGAGAGCATGGGCAGGACCTGTTGAGCTTGTCGGGAGTACTTATCCTAGGCCCCCTCCAGACTTTCCAGCTCAGACCCTTGAAGGGGAGGTCCTGGAAATCCATATTTGTGATGATTCCACATGGGAATCTGATGTACAACTCCAGTTACAAACGATAGCTATACATAAGTGACAGTTGCCAGTCCCAAGATGGTCACGTAAGCCAAAACCTTACAAAATTGAATCAGAGGAGGCCTTGAAAAAAAAAAGTTCTCACAGGCTAGCACATGGTGTGGTGGTTAAAGTGCTGGGCTCCTACATGGCCAAATGCAGTTCGAGTCCCAGATCTGTAAGCTTGCTTTCTCACTTTCCCTTTCTCTCTCTTGTCAAATTTTAAAATAATAATAATAGAGAATGGTGTCTTGTAGGACTTGATTGAGACAAGATGGTGGACTCGCAGTGACAATCTAAAAAGGGTTGAAAAGTAGCTTGTTTAAAAGTAGTTTCTTGGGGCTGGCAGGTGGCGTGGTGGTTAAGAGTGCTGAACTCCCACATGACCAATTAAGGTTCAAGTCCCAGACCTGGTGGCTTGCTTTCTCACTTTCTCACTTTCTCTCTTCCTCTCTCTCTCTCTCTCTCTCTCTCTCTCTCTCTCTCTTTCTCCGTCTCTCCCCCTTTCTGGCCAAATCAAAATAAATAAATAAAGTTAAATAAAATAATTCTTTAAAAATAATAAAATAAAAGCAATTTCTCTTTAGAACAACTTTTATTTTGAGAGAGATTTTTGTTATAGGGTGCGTGTGCTCTCCAGAAAGACAGAGAGAAACAGAGAGACAGAAAGTGAGAAATCACCTTCCGGGGGATGGCCATGACGCAATCCCTTCTCCTCCACTCTCCTCTCAGGATCCTGGGCACATATACACACGCGTCTGGTGTGAGTTTAAGCCACTGGGTCCAGGACTCAAACTGCAGTTGACTACATGGAAATCCAGCAACATAGCCATTATGCCAGCTGCTGGTCCCAGAACTTTTTTGTACCATCTAAGAAGCATCTTGATACACTACAGCAGTAGCAGCAAAATAACGGGTGAGATCAAAGACTACTATCTCAAAACATTTGCTTCCAATCCAAAATGGAGCCTTATGTTGTGTTTGTCATAAATCTATATACTCTTCACTTCTAGATGACTATAATTGCAAAGTGGAACTTGCGTTGATATCTGATAGCAGGACAAAAGCATGCTACAACCCATCTGTGGACATTCCGTGTGAACACACAAAACCTATTCCTAGACCAGATCCTGCATATAATAATGAAGAAACTTATGATCAAGTGCTGAAAACCAGATTAGAAGAAAAAAGATGAATGTCTTGAGCAAGGATTCATGATAGAACAACTTAGCAAAATGTTCTTAAGCACCGTTGGTATCCTCATAGACAGCATCACAGATGTTGTAAAAAACTGGATTCTCCAAAAGACAGATGATATTGAGGTTCTCAGAGGAATCAGGGAAATATGCTTCATTTGTCATTTGAGAAAAACCAGTGTGGTATATTTATGAATATGTTATGTAATAAAACAATAACATCTCTTTTCATGTAATAATAATAATTAATAACATTAAATAAATAATTCTTTTTTTTTAAAGTTCTCATGCAAGCATGCATGTAAACACAAAGTATCACAAGGCATCTGCTAGACCAGAACTAATCACAGAAACTTCTCAAATCAGATAAGCTACCTGCACAAGATTATTTGCTTAGCGATGACTAATGCCAACTCCCATAAGCAACTCCTGTAATCTTTGGTATTTGCACCTTTGGTTTCAAAACAGTTCATGTGGGAGCCTCTTTGTCTTTAAAATTTTTCCCTTATCCCTAGCCCCTCTAGATATGCATATAGTCCCACCACAGCTCACACACCTTAGATTATAAACCTTCCACTGTGGGAGCTGGCAGGTGGCATGGTGGTTAAAGGCGCTGGACTCCCACATGGCCGACCACGGTTCAAGTCTCGGACCTGGTGGTTTGCTTTCTCACTTCTTCTCTCTCTCTCTCTGTGTCTCTCTCTGATCAAACTGGAAAATAATAATGATAATAATAATAAATAAAGTTAAATAAAAATATTAAAAAAAAAAAAAACCTTCCACTGTTTCCAAATCATTTTATTTGCACTGAAGAATCTGTCTGAGTTTCTTTTAGGTTGACATAAGCTGTTGTCAGAAGTGGGGGCTGGGGGCCAGCAGGTGACATAGTGGATAAAGGCACTGGACTCCCACATGGCCGACCACAGTTCAAGTCCTAGACCTGGTGGCTTGCTTTCTCACTTTCCCTCTCTCTCCCTCTCAATCTGTCTCTCTCTGGTCAAATTAAAATAAGTAAATAAAGTTAAATAAAATAATTCTTTTTAAAAAAAGTAGGATCTGAAGTAAATTCACCTAGACAGATTGGCGCCCCCCAGAATTGTGTACAGTATCTACCCAAGCCCCTTTGTGTTCTATACTTCCATGATCCATCTTTCACCCTCTTGAATCTCCTCCTGGATGTGGACTTCCTCCTTTTGGTTGAGTCCTTCAATTATATTTGGGGTGTGGTATTATATGACTTTTATAAAAGAACATTATCCTTTGAGCGAGTAATTTTTTTGTTTCATTTGCTGTTGGACTGTGTACCTAATTAAAGATTTGGGTGACTTAAGTTTTTCTTGTTGAAACGCAATGGGATCCCCAGATTCTAATAAGATACTCTGATCAACTGGACTGGGGAGAAATGTTCACACACATACTGAAATGTTCACTTTGTAAGCTAAATAATATGATTGAATTTATATAAAAATTAAAATGAAAAAAGTGAAAAAAAAAAAAAAAAGAGAAATCCCCTGGGTATCCATCTGCAGAAAGATCAACTGGACTCCTATTTCTCACCATTAATAAAAATCAACTCAAAATGGATCAAAGATCTAAACCTAAGATTTTGAACTATAAAACTAATGGTGGAGATATTTTAAGCTGAGGTGTGTCCTGGCATGTTCAGGGAAGCTATGCTCTAGGCTCCATCTCCTAGACTCCCAGAATATTGAGACAAGGTAGGACAACCTCTACCTTTTCTCTGTCTCTGGCTATCTATCTTTCTGTCTGTCTCACACTCTCTCTCTCTCTTTAAACTTTAAATTTTTAAAAAATTTTTTCAACCACTTCTCCTCACCTTGGGTCTTTTCTTTTACTTGCTAATTCCAGAAGCCATTTTAAAGCTGAGGTATGTCCTACTGTATTTGTGCAGTGTGCTAGCCCGCCACGTGGTTTTCATTTCTTACATGTAAAAAAAATTATTTTTCTCTTTTTTGGTTGTATTTTTCTAGTTTTTTTTTTTCCCTCTTTGCTTTTTTTTTTTAATCCTTTCTTTCCTACTCTAAGCTTCACTCTCCACACACTGAATGTCTAAATAGGCCTAGGTGTATAGTAACCAAGCATATGAATACTTTTAGAATCATTGAAATCCTCACTGCTTATTGAACCTCCTGCCTTAATGAAGAAATTTCTTTTTATAAATCTGAACTCCTAATCTTTCTGTGAATACCACACTGTGAAGCACAGTAGAGGATATATTTTGTCACAGAATGATGAGAAACAACCGCAGAGGCACAAGAAGCATGAGAAATCAAGAAAATATCTCTCCTCTAAGGGAAAAGAACAACCCCTCATCATCCACAGATAGTACAGTAGATCTCATGGAAATGTCTGATAGAGAATTCAGAATATTCATTGTGACAAAACTTAAACAAGATGCAAGAGCTGAGAGCTGGATAAAAGAGACAATGAGTTCCAAGAGGTGTTGAAGTTCTTCCATGACCTTAAAGAGGAAATACATACCATAAAAAAGAATCAAATGGAGCTATTAGAGATGAAGGATACCATTCAGGAAATCAAAACTGCCCTCAAAAGTATTAAAAGCAAATTAGTCCATACAGAAAATTGAATCTCAGATGTTGAAGGCAAAACCTCTGATCCAGAAAAACAACCAAAAAAAAAAAAAAAACTGAGAAAATAACCCCTCAAAATGAGAATATTATACGAGAAATACTAGACACCATTAAGCACCCAAACATCCAGATAATCGGTTTCCCAGAAGGTGAGGAAACTAATAAGGGCATTGATAATCTATTCTATGAAATCTTGGAAGAAAACTTTCCAAATCTAGAGAGGCATGCAAATATCCAGCGCCAAGAAATATAAAGAACTCCACATAGAATCAACCCAAGAAGATATTCTCCAAGGCACATCATAGCCAGACTGGCCAAATCTACAGACAAAAACAAGATACTAAAATTGGCAAGAGAGAAATGTCAGGCAACTTATAAAAGTTATTCAATCAGGTTAACCTCAGACCTCTCATCAGAAACAATGCGAGCAAGGAAAGAATGGGAAAATATACTCAA